TAATTTTCTACTACTAATTAGTTATTTTTTTTTAGTAATTTTCTACTACTAATTAATAAAAAATTAATATTCCACTATTAATTAGTTACTTATTTATACTAATAATTAGTAATTTTCTACTACTAATTATTTATTGACTAATAATTAGTCATTTCCTACTACTAATTAGTAATTTTCTACTACCAATTAATTACTAATAATTAGTAATTTTCCACTATTAATTAGTTATTTATTTACTGATAATTAGTAATTTTCTACTATTAATTACTTATTTATTTACTAATAATTAGTAATTTTCTACTACTAATAGTTACTTATTTACTAATAATTATTTATTTTTTACTGCTAATTATTTACTAATAATTAGTAATTTTCTACTACTAATTAGTTAGTTATTGACTAATAATTAGTAATTTTCTACTACTAATTAGTTAGTTATTTACTAATAATTAGTAATTTTCTACTACTAATTAGTTAGTTATTGACTAATAATTAGTAATTTTCTACTACTAATTAGTTAGTTATTGACTAATAATTAGTAATTTTCTACTACTAATTAGTTAGTTATTGACTAATAATTAGTAATTTTCTACTACTAATTAATTATTTATTTACTAATAATTAGTAATTTTCAACAAATAATTTGTTGTTCCCTATTAATAATCAGTTACTTTTTACTAACAATTAGTCATTTATTTACTAATAGTTAGTATTTTTTGTTACTTATAATTTCTTTTTTTTTTTTTAATAATAGTTATTATTTTTTTAAATCAGTAATTAATTAATTTCTATTAATAATTTATTTTTTTTTGTTTTGTATATTTTTTGAAAATTAATTTGTCTGGAAAAAAAAATATTTTTATCAACAAAGTGGAAAATTTAAAGAATAGGAAAAAATTGAGATTTAAAAAAGAAAAATATATATGTGTGTGAAATTAGGGAGAAATATCAAAAACTGTAAATTGAGTTCTCGACACAAGAAAACACATCCGGCGGACCCGGCAGTCTCGTCTGCAGAGTGGTGAAGTGGTCCACACACTTTTTCTCGTTTCCTGTCCCCCTGGAGCTCTTGACAGTGTTGCCAAACCGTTCATAATATGAGTTTTCCTCCTCTTCAGAAAAGTCTTTTTCACCCCGACTCTAATATAGCACTTTTCTCCGTTTCCTTGTATACATTTATATATTTTTTCAAGTTTATGGGGTTCTTGGATTTAAAAATTCCCTTCTCTCCCCAAGCTTTCCTATTTATCTGGCTATTTAAAAATTTAAAAGGAAAAAATTTCTTTATTTTTGTAACACTAATTTTATTTTTTTTTGTAGTGTGTTAATAGTTTGGCAGGTAGTCAAAAAAAAAAATTACTACTTGATTTTCTGGTGGTACTAATTTCACTTTTGACTAGAGTAAAAAAGTGAAATAAAATGTTTTTTATTTTTAGTCAAAAATAAAATAGGAAAAATTCAAAATAGAATTAATTTTGAGTGTTACTATTTTCGACTGCAAGTAATTTTGTCTAATTACTATTTTTTAGTACAAGTAATTTTGACTATTACTATTTTTGACTACAAGTAATTTTAACTATTATTATTTTTGACTACAAATAATTTTGACTATTACTTTTTTTGACTGCAATTAATTTTGACTATTACTATTTTTTACTACCATTTATTTTGACTATATAATTTTCAATATTAAAAAAATAATTATAGTAAAACGAATAACTGTAGTAAAAAATAATTCAAATAATGGAATTATTGTAGTTAAAAATAATTGTAGTCAAAAATATTTTTAGTAAAAACAATTTATTGCTGCCGGAAATAATTCTAGTAAGAAATAATTATAGTAAATGGAATAATTGTTGTAAAAAGTAATTGTAATGAAAAATAATTCTAGTTAAAAGAATTTTAGTCAGAAATAATTGTAGTAAAAAAATTATAGTAAAAATAATTTTATTAAAAAAATTATAGTAAAAATAATTGTAGTAAAAAATAATTATAGTAAAAGCAATTGTAGTAAAAAATAATTGTAGTCAAAAATAATTGTAGTAGAAAATAATTATAATAAAAACAATTGCAGTAAAAAATAATTGTATAGTCAAAATTATTTCTAGTAAAAGCAATTTATTTTTATTAAAAATAATTGTAGTAAAAGCATTGGAGTTAAAAATAATTGTAGTCAAAAATATTTCATAGTAAAAACAATTTATTTCAGTCAAAAGTAATTGTAGTCAAAATTAATTCTAATAAAAAAAAATTCTACTCACAAATATTTGCAATAGAAAATTTTTATTTTTATGAAATCTAATTAAAATTATTTATTTAATATTATATTATTTTTTTCCCTCTCCTCCCAAAAAAATCAGTAAAAACTAATGTAAATATAAAGTAACAAAGAAGAAAAAAGTATTATCTTGTTTTTTTAGCGTCAATATTGTTTTATATGTTCACCTATTTGTTTTTCGAGATTTTGTTTTTTTTTTACTGTTTGACTATTTCCCTGTTATACGGAAGTTGGTCGGTTGCGATAATCTTCCAGTTGCTCGTAGGTACATAACTACAATATAATAGGAGTAAAATTGTAGCCGCATTACGTTTGCATTTACGACTTTGTTGCCACTATGGTTCTGCGCACGAGACTCAGTTGAACGCCCCATGATTTTTTTTTCTTTTCTCTCTCTCTCTCTCTCTCTCTCTCTTTCAAACGCAACAGTTCCATTACTGGAGATTTACACACATACATGTGTTCATACGCATCGATATATTTCCGTTTCTTCAATTATCTCTTGGTGGGGAAAAAAAACTTCTTTTTTTAATCTCGAAATTACTCCAGAAGATTATTAATCACTTTTTTTTCATTTATTTATTTTTTTTAATTGAATTTTAAAACAATGAAAAAATGGGGGACTAACTCTACTATGTTATAACTCTGTATTTTCTCTAAAACATCGATAATTGTTTCGTAAAAAATTATAGAAATTTTTTTTTTTTTTTTTCATTTACATATTTTTTTTTGAAAATTAAATTTTAAAATTATGAAAAAATTGGGGATTAACTCTACTATGTTATAACTCTGTATTTTCTCTAAAACACTGACAATTGTTTCGTAAAAAATTCTGGAAATTTTTTTTTTTTTCATTTACATATTTTTTTTTGAAAATTAAATTTTAAAACTAAGAAAAAAATGGGGATTAACACTTCTATATTACAACTCTGTATTTTCTCTAAAACACTGACAATTGTTTCGTAAAAAATTCTGGAAAAATTAATTTTTTTTCTTCATTTTTTCATTTATACATTTTTTCTTTAAAATTAAATTTTAAAACTATGAAAAAATGGTTGGATAACTCTTCTGTAGTTTACCTCTGTATTTTCTCTAATACACTGACAATTGTTTCGTAAAGAATTCTGTAAAAATTCTTTTTTTTTTTTTATTTTTTAAAGTAGAAATTAATTTTTTTTATTAAATTATATAATTTTTGTTTAATATTTTGACACCTTTTGTAGTAATCACCCTTTTTTTCCTTCTTTTCCTGTTCTCTTTCTTTCTTTTTCAATTTTTTTTTTTTTGTAAAGGAAAAAACAGACTCTCAATAAGCTGAAAACTAAAAGGCTTACAAATGGCTCTACCTGCTCTTTTCTTATGGTTTCTTGGCTTTTAACACTAAAAATTCTTTTGCGGTCTACAATTCATAATACGAGAAAATCTATCCTATTTCACTATTGTACGGTTTTTTTTTTGTTTGCCAGAAGTGTTATGGATTCAAAAAAGGAAAATATATTCTAGACCCATGGCATTTTTCTTATTCATCGGTGAAAAAAAGAAAAAAAAAACCTTCGATGATGATAATGATGATGAAGATTGTGAAAGATTTTTTCTTTTGTTTTAAAGAGATAAATGCCAAAAGCAGCACTTTAGCTTTTTTTCTTATCGATGAAGAATAGCAGTTTAACAAATTTAGAGCATTTACAAAATTTTTTAATTTTTTTTTTTTTTTTTTAATGAATTGACAATTGTTTTGTAAAAAATTCTGAGACAATTTAAATAAATTTTTTTTTTGTTTATAGAATAGTAAAAACATTAATTATAGTTAAGAAAATTATTTTTGAAAGATTTGTTTAAAAATTAAATTTGCTTTTACAAAATTAAACCAAAAACATTCAATTAAGTTGAAAATAATACAAACATAACCTTAAAAACAATTTACTTCTAAGGTTAGGTACTTTTCTTCGATGTGTATCACAAATAATCTAGTAAATTTGAACTTAAATTTTAATTATTTATAAGGGGCTGTCTATAAATCACGTAAAACATTTAGGGGGAGGGGGGTGGGGGGTCAGCAAAATCTTACGAACAATAGAAAAAATTTGTTGCGTTTTTTAAAATATGGCGGTAACAGTGGTCAAAAATTGAAAAAAAAAATTTTTCCTTCTTCTATGTCAATTTTGGCAGTAAGTTTCACTTTTTTTTTTTTTTTTTTTTCGAGTGATTCAAATCCCTTAATTGTACACTTTTTTTCTCTTCTCTCGGAAGCCCTTAATTAAAGGCTTTATCCCTCAAGTTGGCGAGTATGTAGGGTCGAGCGCGAAAGTCCGCCCCCGTTTTCCTCGCCGGGTTTTTGACTCAACAAGTGGGCTAATGTTTTCCGCACGCACAGTAGAAAGAGAAGAAGAAGAAGAAGAAAGAAGAGAAGAGAAGAAGAAGCGCACCTCCGAGGCAAAAACGGGCCCCTTTGAACATTAGGGGTTGCTTCCTGCGAGAATTTTCCCTCTCTCTGTCTTTCTCTCTTTTTGTCTCTCTCTTTTTTTCTCTCTCTTTCGCTCTCTCTCTCTCTCTTTTTTCTTTCTCTTTCTCTCTCTCTCTCTCTCGCTTTGTCGACGGCGGATAGAACCTAGGGCCACTGAAGAGAGGTGAAGAGAAAGCGAGTCGAACTTCTCTTCCCCTGGTCCCCCCACCACTGTAATAGTGGTGGGGAGGGGCGCAGGCTTTCCCCTCGCGGAGCGTCAGTCGCGTCGCGTTCATCGAGTGAGTAGGATTTCGTTGTGTCCCCAACACCGCAATAAATTCACATTCACGACCCGGTTATTTTATTTATTTTTTTTTTTATACTAAAAACACTCTTTTCCCTCCCCCCTCCCGTTAATTCCCTATTTCTAGTTGTTTTTCGCCAACTTCCCTCAAAAAGTGATAACTTCCAATCCCCCACCTAGTGATTTTGCTTCCATTCGACGAATTTTTATTTTAAAATTCCCTATTTTTGAAAACAACTTTTTTAGTTCTCTTTATGGAAAAAAAATAGTGAAGTGTTGTGTAAAGAAAAAAAATTCTCTAGTGATTTCAGTGGTGCCTAGTGATATCAAAAAAGAAAAGATAATCTTAAGTGTTGAGAAAAGAAAAAATTTGTATGTTATTTCGTCGTTACCCACGCGGTTTTTCGAGGGGCTAAAAATAAACGGTCGCTTCCGCCGCAAAGGCAAACAAATACAACAAGAAAAGAAGAAGAAGAAGTAGTTTCCTTGGGAATTTTTTTTTTTTTTGTGTTCTTCACGAGAAATTTTGAAAAAAAAGAAGAAACTAGACGATCCGTCGGACGAACGGAGGTCGTTAGACGACAATGAAAAGCATGATTGGCGGAATTTGACCCTAGTGGATTTTTTTTTTTTTTACTTTTTTTTTTTTAGTTTTTGGAAAAGAAATAAAAAAAATTGATTCTATATTGGATTTTAAATAGTCAAATTTTTCTTTAATGAAATTCGTCAACAAAAGATGCAATCAAACACGATTCTTCGTGAAGTTGGTAACACTGAGAAGCTTATGAACAACAATAATCTTAATAATAATGGATCGCCCGGCGCTGACATAATGTTTCAAATGGAAGACGACGGACTCACGCAACTCGGAAGCGTGTTCCAGTCCGCATATCAATCAATCGTTGGAGGTGGTCCTCAGGTATTTAAATGCACATCAATCCTTTTTGATATAGTTTGATTCGGGGAAAAAAAATTTTTTTGGCAAAATTCGAAGGTCATTTTTAGGTTAAGTTAACACTTTTTTTCACCTTTTTAATTTTCTGTTTGGAAAACAATAATATAAAAAGGTCTTGTTATTGTAGACGGACCTTAAAAGTAGTTTTGGAAATGGTCCCATTGTGCATTGGCCTTAATAGCTAAAAATTTCAAAAAATAGCTATATTCCCCTAAAAGGGAATTTTTTTATTGCAGTGTGGCCTTAAAAGTGAAAATTTTGGAAAATTGTGCATTGACCTTAAGGTTGACATTCAGTCGAAAACGTGTTTTCATTAAGTACATGGAACACGTGACTACTGAATAAAATTACCATAAAGATCTTCTTATTGTAGACGGACCTTAAAAATGATTGTTTTGGAAATCGAGCCATTGTGCATTGGCCTTAATAGCGTAAATTTCAAAAAATAGCTACGATTCTAGGTTTCCTCTAAAAGAGGGAGTTTGCCTCTTATTGTAGAATGGCCTTAACAGTTGAAATTTCGGAAATAATTTCCATTGCACCATGGGCTTTAGGTTATCTTTTTCTGTCAAAAACATGTTTCGATGAAGCACACGGAACACGTGACTACTGAATAACATGACCTGAAAGGCCTTTAATTGTAAACAGACCTTAAAACTGAATGGTTTTGGAAATTATCCCCTTTTATTGTGCATCGGCATTAACAGTAAAAATCTTGAATTTAGTTACGTTTCCCTACGAGCTAAAAAGTGAAAATGGAAATAGTTCGACCTTTTGGAATTTTTTCGCTTTATTGACGATTGGCCTTAACATTGGAAACTTTGGAATTAGTTTTCTTTCATTGTTCATTGGCCCTAATGACGAATTTTTTGGAAATAGTTGCGATTTATCGTACATTGACCTTGAGTCGATTAAATTTCAGGAAACTAGGAATTCTTACGTTTTATTGTCCAGTGGCCTTAACAGTCGAAACTTTGGAATTAGTTTTGTTTTATACTGGCCTTAATATGGAAATTTTTTAAAAATAGTTGCGATTTATCGTCCAATGACCCCAAAAGTGTAAACTTTAAAAAATTCTTGCTATCAACGATTTAATAGTGAAAACTTCAGAATTCGTTACGTTCTATTGTAAATTGAGCTTAACAAGGAAATTTTTAGAAATAGTTCAGATTTATCGCCTTAAGGTTATGATATTCAGTGGTCACGTGTCGATTATAGTCGATTGACCAAAATAGTGAAAACTGGAAATGGTTGCATTTTATTGTAAACTGGGCTTAAGAGTCGAAATTTCGAAAATAGGTGCTGATTAACGATCTGCCTTAATAGTAGAAAATTCGGAAAAAGTTACCTTTCAATGTCGATTGATCCAAACTAAAAGTGGAAACTTTAGAATTCCTTCCTTTTTATTGTAAACTGACCTTAAAAGTGAAAAGATCGGAAATAGTTGTCTATTCAGGGTTGCTACAGAACCTGGAAAACCTGGAAAAGTCAGGGATTTTTTAAAAATGTTCTGGAATACCTGGAAAAGTCATGGAAATTTAAAAACAGACTTCTGTAGCAACCCTGCTATTGTAAACTGGCCTTAATAGTGAAATTTTTGAAAAATAGGAATGAAACAACGGAATAAAATATACTTTGTGGAAAAATTAACTATGGGCGAGAAAAATTCAAGGGTTAAAAGTGTAAAATTTGTAACTGTTGTTAAAAATACTTTAACTCCCTATGGAGGGGGTTAAAGTTACATATGGAAAATAATTGCAGGAAAGTTTTCCTGAAATGCGGAACTGTTCCGCAAAAATCCGTAACTAATGTGGTCATCTTCAGGTCCGGTGATAAACCTTAAACGGTTATTTAGGTTCAAATGACCTCGAATACATTTTCTTTTTTGTTCTTAATTCTTAAGCTCGTAAATCAAATACGACAGTGAACGTTTGCAATTTTATTACTACGGTATTAGTATCATTAGTAGTGTTCGTAGTTGTGATAACGTAAAGTAGTGTGACAGAAATCTCATTTTTTTTTTTTTTTTTATATATATTCTGTATTTTATGGAAAATTGTAACAATTTCTTTATTTACATGATAAACGGAGCCTTAAGAGTAAATTTAATTATAAAAAAAATAGGTGACAAGCTACTACTAATTTTTTTTTTTTTAAATATTCATCATTCAATGGAAAATGATAAAAATGTATGGAAAGAAGTAACCAATTTTTTTTGAGAAATATTCAGCATTTAATGGAAAATTAAAAATTGTATGAAAAGAAGTAAAAAATATTTTTTTTAAATATTAAAGATTTAATGAAAAATGAGAAAAATGTATGGAAGGAAGTAAAAAAAATTATTTTTTTTTGAGAAATATTTAGCATTTAATGGAAAATGAAAAAAAAATGTATGCAAAGAAGTAAAACAATGAAAATTTATGGATAAAATAAAAAATATTTATTAAAAAAAAAAAAAAAAAAAAAAAATTCGACATAGTTTGAAAAAGAATAAAATTGAATAAATAATTTCTTTTACTGATTTTTATCCATATAAAATACCTGTAAAAGCAGATAATACTATCAAATCTATATCTTAAAATGTGAAATGCGACCGATAAGGTGCGCTTGAGTGGTTTTTCTAAATATTTCAAAATTGACAGTTGCTACACCTGGAGTGTAGAGCACATACGTTACAATTAGAATATCTCGAATCAAAACAATTTTAGCTGCTTTCTATTTTTTCCAAATTCACTTGTTTTAATATTTTCATTTTAACACATTCGAAGTAATTTTTATTTTTCAATTTTTATTTTTCAATTTTTATTTTTTAATTTTTTTTTAAATACAGTTTTTTGTGTTTTTTAAGCAGAAAAATATGCTCCCGAAATTAGCGTCGAAAACTATGTTAAATTTTGTGTTTTTCGGGATTGAAATATTAAATTTACTTTTATTTATCCAAAAAGTTGAATTTTTTTTTTTTTTTTTTTATAACATAAAATTTGTTTACACAATTATTGTATATATTTCGATTAAAATGTAATTATTTGAAGATAATTTTCTACTGAAAAATACTTTTAAAAAAACTATTCGTAAAAAAATTCATGCTCGAAAGAAAATAAAATTGAAATTAATCTATCGCAACTTTCGATATTTTGATGTTAAAGAAAACAGTTTTATAATATTTGCAAGCAAAATATTTATAGTTATTGTCGATGAACGGGGTGTAAACGATCGTGTTTGTGTGTCATATACACATATATATGTGTGAGTATGTTGCAATAAAGTTTGTTTGCAAAAGTTATCGTCTTAATAAACTTCTAAGATCTTCAACAATCATAAACACCCAGTGTTTATTAGCTTTGATTTTAGAGGTTTCAAAATTCTTCATTTTTTTTTTTTTTAATCTGTCAACCAAATATTTTTGTTTAGAAAATTGATAATTTATGATAATTTTACGATTCCTCTTTTTCTTCGGAAATTTATATTTCCGTTTTCCCCCACCCCTTCTTTTTTTCTCAATTAAAAATTAAATATAGAAATCTCCCTTTTTTTTGCAATATAAAAATTTGTAGAGGGTATTTTTATGTCTTTTTCCCCCTTTTTTCTCTAAATATTTTTTTTTATGTTTTATTTATTTATTTTACAATTTATATTATAAAATAAATTTCAGGGTTGCCACAAAATATGGATTTAAAAATTCCGTGAAAATTTTTTTTTGTTTTTCGGACAATTTTTTAAAAAAATTTGTTTTATCCCTTGGCTCTAAATTCTTTTTTTTTTAATTTTTATTTTATAAAATTAAATTCTATGAGTTTTACTTTTTCCTGACATTTATTTTTGATGACGTACCTTTTTTTCGGGGTTATATTGAAATAGTATTGAAAAAAAAAAAAAAAAATTCATAGGTGTAATTTATTTTTGCGAGGACAGTGAGTCATCGTCATTCTTGCATTGTTTCGTTAAATGGAATTTCTATCTAATTTAAATGCGGCTTAGCGAGAAATAATACGATTATGCGTTAGCTTATTCTGTTTGTTAATCTCCTTTGCACACCATTGTTACCCGTATAGAGGGATCCACTGTATCGTTCCTCCTCCTCCCACCCTCCTCTTTTCTCTATCCATTTTGCACGTTACTGTACATTATTTCAGTACAGTCAACTCCCGCAGATCCTCTCTAGCTTATGGACTGTTTTCAGTGATTCTCAATCAACGCCTCTTCTCTCTCTCTCTCTCTTTTTCTCTTTCTCTCTCTCATTCCCTTCTATATTTCGTTCTCCCCCCCTCCTCTTTTTTTTCTCTTCAAACTCCTCTCCGCGAATCGATGCCAATGTCCCCTTTCAATCTCTCGACTCTATCAGTAACAGATAAGTGAATTTAAAGCCAATTTATCTCAACGAGCGTCATTCAAGACCGAATACTTCTCTGACATAACCTCAAAATAGCCGCAGATATTTTTCAAATAAGATTAATTTCAGAACGTACTTTTAAAAATTTTTTTTTTCATAATTGGGTAATTATTACTAATTATTAATTATATTATAATTGAGATGTTAAAATTTTCAATCTAAATATTATCTCGGGGAAAACTTGAATTTAAAACAAGAACCGAAAGTAAATATCATCACCTCGAAAGTTTGACATTGCGTAATTTTTACATTTCATGATATTTTCTATTTTTTCTTTTTTCGGGGTAAATTTCACGTGTGAACAAATACAGAATGATTTTCAAATATTTAATTTTTTTCCAAATTATTTAATTATTTTTGAATTGTTTTTTTTCGACATAACCTAAAAATAACAGAAGAATTTTTTTTTCCAAATGAAAAATATCAGAAGAATTTTTTTTCCAAATGAGAAATACTAGAAGAATTTTTTTTTATGAGAGTGTGAGAGAGAAAGAGAGAGAGAGAGAACCATTGGTCAAAATTTGAGCGCGTGTTAATTCTGCCTGAAACGATTTCACACACTATGATCTAAATA